AGAGTTCATGCTTGAGTGTGGTCGATGGCTTCGTACGATGCCGAGCTGCACTATCGTGAACATCCCGATCCGCTCACGTCAAGCGGGACGCTACTCGATTCGTAGATTGACGCGGTCGCTTATCGCGCTTTTTGCAATCGCGCCTGTAGTCGATGTGATGCGCGGCTTCCTAGCTGCGTCCTGGCGCTAGCCGGTCGTCATGCCTACCATGCGAGAGAGACGAGTTGGTATTCTGTTCGTCCAGTCACTGCACCTGCAGCCTAGCTGTGGTTGTTCGAATGCGCCTCTGCGAACCGTAGCATGCTGATCGGGAGCTACGCCATTCGCGTGGCTCCGAGCTGTTCATCCCGCCTTCAACCACCTCGCGTGTGGCTATACCAGAGTGTTTAGCAGTGCTGCGCACTCCACCATGGGTCTGAAACGAGCTGATGCCCTCATCATAGCCACAGCGCCTCGCGAGCGACCTCGTCTCGCCCTTGACCTTGTTGAAGTTCTGCCTGAGCGGAGTTCCAGGGCGCGGCTCGGCTTGCTCCTTTTCGCGCGTCTCCCTCGTCCGACGCAGAGCCCTCCAGTGTTACGCGACAACTCGTCGATCAGTGCGTTCCGAGGAAGTGTCGACGTGCGCCGTCGTACGGCGCGTATTCTGTCACAGTTCCTGTTGAGGCCGCGTCGGACGATGATTGACTCGAGATCACGCGTTGGTCGCGACAGACTGGACGTCGTGCGAGTTGTCTGCGCCTCGACTTCGACCGAGTGACTAGACGTCCAGCTCGCTTTGGCTTTCCTTTCACGCGCCGCAAGAGCTGGTCACGTACGGCGACGACGACAGCGCTACGATGAGAATCCTTACGCTCTGGGATGGTGATGCTGCGACCGGGACTCCACTGCGCTCGCACAGCCGCTCTTGGCAAGCGGGACTTCAGTCAACGGAACGCCGTCGGCTCAATGACCGGTAAGACGGTTCGCTGCGGATGTGTCAAAGGTGACACGGGTTAGCCGCCACGACAGAAGCCGTGCATTTGCCGGTACGGCTGCGTCGTGAATTGGCAGGATCGCTATGTAGACGAATTCGTCCGAAAATTGACTTGATCTGCTCGGCCTGCCGACTGGCGTCAGTGAGTCGTTCCTGCGCAGCTCGTCGACAGCGCACTGTGGCGGAGCAGGTGTATCAGCCTTCAACTCTGCGGAGCAGGAGAGAGCGCACAAGTGATTCGATCCAGCGATACGGCGCGCCATACTTGCCTCTGACTGTGTTCGCTGCTTTTTCAACGGCCTGATTCATGCGTCCGTACGCCAGCTCTGCCGGAATTAGTCAAGTTGTTGTCTAGCCGACGATCTATGCTGATGCTTTGGAGTTCCTTCAACTCTCAGTACGCTCCTGCTACATGCTTATTTCCTGATCGCCTTCTTGAGCTCCGCGCGCGCGGATAGCGCGCTCGGTGTGAGGGGCGCGTTCGGCTAGCTCCACTGCCTCATGCCGGTAGTGGTCTGGAGTTCGCGTTCGTGAGCGGCACCCTCGAGCTTGCAGGTCGTGGACGACCGCATCACTCGCCGAGCTGCTACCTGAGCACGTAAGTTCTCTTATGATCGCATATGGAGTGCGATCCTGACGCTGCCTTCCTCCCGCCGCGCAAGCGTGTGTGTCGTCGCGGCCAGCCCCATGCTCGAGCGTTCCGACATCTACCGACTTCTGCTGCTAGTTGCGCGCAGAGGACGCTGTTCGAGCTCGCAATTGACGCTTATACAAGCGAGTCACTTTGTATGCGCGCGCGCGGCTAGACGCCGCCGGCCGGAGGCACCAAGTCTCCCTGCTGCTGTTGTATATGATCCTGCGGCAACTCTCTAGCACGCTGCGGCTCCTCCGAGGACGGTCCCTACCTCGGACTCCAGAACCCCGCGCTGAGGACTTGCCAGCGCTTGAAGCGGGCAGTCCGGTCTGTCGAATGACTGTCCCTGGAGAACCCACAGGACGCCCCACATGCCAAGCGTTTCCGAAGTTGCGCCTCGATTGCCTGCCTCGGCGAAACCCAGAAGGTTGCGCAATTCGTTTTCAGCAGCGTCCGCTTCGAGAAGTGTTCCATCAGGAACTGCAGTCGCGCAAAGGGGCTCACTGACGAAGCGCTTGGTCAGCGTGTACTCAGCGCCGCCTACTCAAAGACCAGTTCGACGACCGGCGCCGCACCGCTGCGATCATTTTGCAGATGCCACGATGGGCTGCGCCCTGAGCCGTGGCGCTCGAACAGCACTGCTCGAAGCGCATCCAACAGGTCGATTTGCCGAGCTCGTTCGGCCCAACGACCAGATTGCGACCGTCACCGAGTTGGCCCAACTGCGTCGGCCACGGTAAAGCGCTTGAGCTGGTTGACTGAGAGCTTGCGCAGCTTCATCGTAGCCCCGATTCGAGCTCTAGTGTCGATGTAGAGTCGGTGAAGAGCGGCGGAGCGAGGTCGGCGTTACTCCCCTGCCTCGACCATCCCGCGAAGCCTGTCAGCAGCGGCGCGCACAATTACGCTGGATCAATGCTGTCAAGGTCGTCGTCGGTGGGTTCCGGAAACAGCTGCCCGCGTGCAATCGAAGATGAAAGAGCGCTGCGGCCGCTCCCTCGACGATCCGTCTCGAAGCGCTGCAAGTCAGCCAGTGAGAGGGGCTCCCGAGAGAGTTTCAGATCGACCAGGTGTGGTTGAGGTCGCCGTTCAGGTCCGCAGTTTGTGTTCGAGCAGACCCACGTCTTCGGTCTCTCCACGCGCTAATCGAGCGACACCCAGTGGTACTGACCTGTCGAGAGCGGGTGAGTGACCGCGCGGCAACTCATTCGGACGTCGATTTCTACCAGCAGGGCAGTGCCACTGAGCCCTGACGCGTACTGAAACGAGTCCGTCTCTGGCGTGCCGCATGTACCAGCAACGCTCGTTTACCCGAAGCTCTCCGTGCCAGTCGCCCAGCGCCAGTAGTCGAGTCGAGCGGATTGCGGTCGCGCGGGGTCGATGCGGTGGCTCGCTGTTCCTCATCCGTATCGAAGCCATGGACGGCGCATGAGCCAGGCCGATGCGGATCAAGTGGGCGTCGCTGACCTGATCGTCCATCCAGGCGGTCGGATCATTGAGGGTGCGACGATGTGGAGTGGACCCGGAAGCAGGACGCGGTATCTGCTCGATGACGCTGGCGGCAGATTCGGTATGCAGTGTGGATGTTGTCAGGCAGATCACGCTTTCTGATCTGGTCCCAAAGTCCGTTGGTTGGTACGAGTCATGGTTTCCCGGCAAAGATGCCACTGCACCGAGCTGTAAGCACGCATTCGCTCGACGACCTGGTTGCGGGTGTGGGGAGCGAGAGGAGCGGCGTGGTCGTAAACGTCGCCCGCAACCCAATACATGGCTCACGTCGTGCTCGTCGGCCAGTTTGCCGATGCACGTGATCGCCTCCAGTCGCGCCAACTGGAGGCCACCCATCTCCACCCCATCAACGAAGCGGAAAACTTTGCCGATCTGCCAGTCGGCAGAATGAATGAAGCGGAATGCCATTGACCAGACAGTCTCCCGAAGTACATCGTGACCGGCGCGCATTCTATGGGGTCTGCGTCGCCGATTGCAAGGCGTTTTCGCTACCCCATCGAGAAGTGGTCCACACCTCCACAGGACGGCCAACTATCCAAGCTTCTGCTGCCGATTCCAGTTGCGCTTCGCTTTACAGTCGCCAGCCGGAACCACGATGTGGAAGGGTGTTGGATTTCGTCCAGTTTAGTGGACTGGAAACTGCTGGCTTCCGTCGATTGACGACCCGTCACCGCCGACCGGGCAAGAGCATCGGAACCGCAGGCCGCAGAGTTTGTCGCTCATCCAGCGAAGCCAGTCAGCCCACGACCACTACTGCCACCCGGACCAACAGGGTCGGATGGCAAGTACTACTCGATTCCCGCTAGCGCGGCCAAGCACCGGTTCTTATTGCTGATCGCTAATGAGTGGCGGGGTCTGGGTGCCCGGGATGCGCGAACCACTCCATCAGCATCTCGCTGGTTACTACCGGTGGGTCATGCAACTCCCGGAACAGAGATTCACACGCGGGAAGAATACGCTGTGTTTGCTGACCCGCCTCCGGACCGTCACCGCGTCCCAAATCCTGACATTGGAGTAATTGTGGGGGTTCGCGGTTTTGATCCATCGGAAGGGGTGGATTTCCCGGCACCATGCAGTGCGGGGCACCTCCAACCCCCGCTCTCTATACCAAGCAGCCGCATCCCCGTGGGACTCGAACCTGTTCACCACCTGCAGGACCGCCGTCAGACGCCAATGACAACACGATAGTCAGGGTACTTGCCCTTGACTGGTCAGGTACACCACAAGTATCGAAACCGACAGGCGGGGGGCGAATTTGGCGCCCCGACATATGCCGGTAATCGATGGAAACACCGCTTCAAAGTCTGGCTCCCGTCGGCACGAATCGTCCACGTAGGGAGCAAGACCATATCGCGCGATCGCAACTTGCCCCGACCATTACGTACGATGGGGGACGGGACGTACGTTACCAAGTAGTTCATCGTCAAAGTGGTGGTCGGCGAACGTCAAGTTGATTAGCCGTGGAGTCGGGACACCGGCAAACTCGGAGTATCCGATTTCGTCCGATTCTGAAATATCGGTTGTACTCACGTGTCCTGCCAATTGACGAAATGCTTCAATAATGGCGGCGCCTGGTTCAGTCAGCACGATCCGCTCGCACCACTGCGCGCGCGCCAGGACCCGGCCCTCCTGGGCCCACGGCCCGCCGAACTGCACCGCCATGGGCATGCCCAGCTCGCTCCAGGCCCGTCGAGACCACCACCGTGGCAACCCGGCGGCCGTCCACGGCACCTGGAACGCCGCATCACCGGTGGTGTTCAGATCACGCGGAGCCCGGCGCCGGCATCGCCGGCGCTCATGACGACATCGACTTTGGCGGCCATCTCGCTGAAGTCGGCGCGGAATTGCCGCCGCAGCCGCTGGCCTTCAGGTACGCCGACAGTCCGGTTAATGATCATGACCCATCTCCATGCCGGCGCGGATGCGCGGGCCGTAGTCGGCGGCGCGAACGCTGTGATTGACCTGGTGGACCCCCGCGCACTCTACGTTCGACACGATGCGCTGGAAGCTGTGCACCACGGCGAAGCTGTCCGGCAACGGTATTTCCTCGACTTCAGCCCCAGCCTCCGCCAGTAGATTGGCCACGGCCTCCGTGTGCGCCCACATCTCCGGCGTGGCATAGTCCTGGTAGTACTGCCGCACCAGCCCGATGCGCGGGGGCCGGTCATGCTCGGCCATCTGCGCGCTGAAGTCGGGCACCGGTTCGCGCAGGCTGCCGGGATCATGGTCATCCGCGCCGCTCAGCACGGTCAGCATCAACGCGCCATCGGCCACCGTTCGAGTCAGGATGCCCACGTGGTCCAGAGACCAGCTTAGCGGGGCCACCCCGTACCGTGAGATGCGCCCGTAGGTGGCCTTCACGCCGACGATGCCGTTGTAGGCCGCCGGTCGGCAGGTGGACCCGCCGGTCTGTGAGCCCAGCGCAGCCGGAACCATCCGCGCCGCCACCGCCGCAGACGACCCACTGCTGGAGCCGCCGGGAGTGTGCTCCAGGTTCCATGGGTTGCGCGTCGGCGAAGGGTCGGAGGAGGCGAACTCGGTGGTGACCGCCTTGCCCAGGATGATGCCACCGGCCGCCTTGATCTTGGCCACCGATGTCGCATCGAATTCCGGCACGAAGTCGGCGTACACCTTCGACCCGCACGCGGTGAGCATGCCTTGAGTGTAGAAAATGTCCTTCAGGCCCACGGGAACGCCGTGGATCAGGCCGAGCGAGTCGCCCCGCTGGACCTCTGCCTCTCGCTGCTGCGCCGCGGAAAGCACCGCGTCTCGGTCGATGGTGACCCATGCCTGCAGGTCGCCGTCCAGCGCGTCGATGCGCGCCAGCAGTGCCTCGGCCAGAGCCACCGGCGACACGGTTCCTTCGCGGATCTGCGCGGCGGCTTCTGCCACCGAAAGCTCGTGGAGTTCAGGCATGATTCAACCTCGCTGAAGGCGGTATACGCGCGGCGGTGGGTTGGCCGTTCGCGGGTGCGTCCCTTGGTTCGTTCCCCTGCTTGTCCATCGATGCGTCAACCGCAAGTCGCCCGTGACCGGCTGGCTCGCCCACTTGGCGAACCCAGCAACGTGTTGATCCGCCGAGTACTCGTCTCGTTGCGTTAAGGTATTCCCTTGTGCAGCGGAAGACAACGCGAGTCCCCAAGGGCGCCGAGGGTATGCAACTGTTGAAGATTTGGCCTATTCTAGTTGATTATGGACGTTGTTGGTCGTGGCATCAGTCTCACTGCTTGGGGCCGCCTGTACGGTTTTGACAAAGCCACTACGGCACGAATGCACCATGCTGGAAAGTTGCCACCCGAGCTTAAGATAGAGCAGTTGCCCAACGGTCGCTACTATGTGGTCGTACCGCCGGAAAATGATAGACGTTGCGTAGTGTACGCTCGGGTTTCGTCGGCTGACCAGAAAGACGATCTGGACCGTCAGGTGGGCCGCGTCGTGGAATGGGCGACGCAGTAGGGATGTTGTCCCGATGAGGTGATGAAGGAGATCGGTTCCGGTCTGAATGGCAACCGTCGACGTCCGCGGCGTCTCGTCGCGGATCACACGGTGGGTACGACAGTGGTGGAGCATCGGGAGCGGTTGAGCCGTTTCGGGTTCGAGTACGTTGAGGCGGAGGGGTTGTTAGTGCGACGTTACAATTGGGCTTCGTTTAACAATGCGTTGTCCGATAACAATGCGTTGTCCGAGCCGGCGGTGGGATCAGTACCAGTCATAGGGAGTGCCGGGACGCCGCGCCCAAGCCGACCGACCCAGTTTCCGCATCGCCGGCCCCAACGCCGACATCAGCCGTGTCCACTCCTCCGCGTCGGTGTGCCGCCACATTCCGTGGCCGGGGAACACCCACTCCACCGGCAGCGCAGCCATCCGGTCCATGGTATCGGCCAGCCCCTCCCACGAGTGAAATGTCTGGTTGGGGGTTACGTCGAACTCGCGCCGCCGCTGATTCCAGAGCAAGGTGTCTCCTGTGAACAGGCACCGTTCGTCCACGTGATACAGGACGTGCCCCCGGGTGTGCCCCGGGGCTGGGATTGCGTCAACGCCTGGGGATATGAGGACCGTAGTGGAGCCGTCCAGCAGGTCGGTGGCGTAGGGCGCGGCGTCTGCGTCGGCCTCGCCGATCCAGACCCGGGCTCCGTAACGCTCCGCCCACCGGCCTGCGTCTGCCACGTCGTCCCGGTGGCTCAGCAACACGTGGGCGATGCCCCCGAGCCGGTCAACGCTGGAGGCCAGCGGCCGGCTGAACCGGGGAGAATCGATCATCAGATTGCCCTCTGGCCGCAGTGCCAGATACGAGTGGCCGCCGAAGGACGACAGGGCGTTGTTGCCCAGGGCCAGGATCCCGTCGGTCATTTGGTAGGGGAACATCCCCTCCGGTTCCCGGGGCTGTTCCCGCTGGCCTATCGACTTGGTGGGGCAAGCCCCGGCAGCGCGCCACAGCGCAGCCTCCTGTTCCTCTCCCACCGGCTGGCGAGCCACGAAGGAACGGCCCGCGTCATCCATCTCGATCAGGCCCGGCGCCCAGTGCCTCGCGGCGTCGCACCTCACACAGCGGGTGTCCACGTACCAGAGACCGGGCGCGTTGCGGACATTGGCTTGGTCGGCTCGCGGCATTGATGAGACCCTCCAACTTTTCTATACTGATCCCATTATAAAGAACTCGCGCCGATGAACTGGACCAGGCCAGCCGGACCCGTCTGCTGTCAGCGTCGCTGGTTCCCTTCAAGGTCTACAATCGCGCCACAAAGGCAAGGGTGCTCCTGAGAATGCAGTTCATGGCCGCGCTCAACGACGTGGATGTCCTGGTGTCTCCCACGTCGCCCTACCCGGCGCCCCTGCACACGGCGCTGACGGCGCGGTTCGAGATCGCAGAGGACGTGCGGACGCGCTTCTTCTTGCGCCGGGCCTACACCGGCTGCTACTCGCTGACCGCACTGCCTGCCATTTCCATACCCGGTGGCTTCACCAGCGACGGACTGCCCATCGGCCTGCAACTCGGCGCGCGGCCCTTCGCCGAAGAGACGCTGTTCCGCGCCGCCCACGCCTACGAGCAGGCGACCGACTGGCATACCCGAATCGCACCGGCGGCCCAAGCATAAACCGACAGGAGTTGACGCCATGACCGACACAATTCGCGTGGGAATCATCGGGGCCAACGCCAACTACGGCTGGAGCAAGCGGGCCCACCTGCCCGCCCTGCTGGGAATGCCCGACTTCGAGCTGACGGCGGTCTGCACCTCCCGCCCCGAAACCGCGGAGGAATCCAAGGCGTTCTACGGCGCAAATCTGGCCTTCCACGACTACACCGAGATGGCCAACCACCCCGACGTTGACCTGGTGGTGGTATCGGTCAGCGTCCCGGCCCATTACGGCATGGTGACAGCCGGGTTGCAGGCCGGCAAGCACGTCTTCTGCGAGTGGCCGCTGGGAGCCAACACCGTCGAGGCCGTCGAGCTGGCCAGCCTGGCCCACGACAAGGGAGTACGCACCCTCATCGGGTTGCAGGCCCGCGGCGGCCCCGCGCTGCTGCGCCTTCGGCAACTGGTGGCCGAGGGCTACGTGGGCGATATGCTGTCTTGCAACATGACCATGTTCCTCCCCGGCCTGATGGGACGCGGCGTAGACCGCGCCTGGATGGCCGACCGGGCCAAGGGCGCCAACAGCCTCAGCATCGCCTCCGGCCACGCCCTCGACATCTTCTGCCACTGCGTCGGCGAGTTCAGCGAGTTGTCCGCCCAAGTAAGCGTGCAACTGGGCCAGTGGAGCACCAGCGACGGCAACACCGTGGACGTGAGCGCGCCCGACAACGTGATGGTGAGCGGCACACTGGAAAACGGCGCGGCGGCCTCGGCCCACATCGCCACCATCCCCTGGAACGGCAGCGGCTGGCGCATGGAGGTCTACGGCACCCAGGGCACTCTGTCGGCCCGCTCCCAGGAGATGGTGCAGTACGGCAACGTCCGCCTCTATGGCGCCCAAGGCGCCGGACAACCCTTGCAGCCGCTGGAAGTGCCGTCCCGATTGTCGCTGGCCCCGGAGGGTGTACCGGCGGGCGAGCCGTATAATGTGGCCCAGCTTTACCGCTTCATCGGCGACGCCATCCGCGACTGTTCGGACGCGCAGCCCGATTTCGACACCGCCGTTGCCCGCCACCGCTTCCTCGACCTCCTGCAACAGTCGTCGGACGAGGGCCGGAGGGTCAAGGTGGGATAAAATGCGGGCCGGGTTGCATACTGGGTGATTTTCTTTGGCGTTACGATAGGTGCAACCTTTGCAGGGCAATCCCGTTTTAAGTGTGGGGCAAGCCAACATGCCCGATTAAATTCCGTCATTCCCGCGAAGGCGGGAATCCACTAGGTAGCACGAAAGATTCCCTCTCCCCACTTACACGAGATCAAATTTTGCCGGGATGCCCGGCAAGGAGTCAGGAGCGAGAAGCTTGTCCATGCAAATCGGCATGTTCTATCAGATGCAGGTCCCCAGGTCGTCATCCCGTTCCTACGAGGCTGACCGGTTCCTGGAAATGCTTGACCAAGTGGCCTATGCTGAAGAGATGGGCCTGAGCAGCGTCTGGATGGCCGACCACCAGTTCCGTACCGAGTGGTCCCACTCCAGCGCCCCCGACGTGACCCTTGGCGCATTGAGCCAGCGCACCAGCCAGATGCGTCTGGGCATCGCCGTGGTGGTGCCCCCGGTGCAGCACCCTCTCCACATCGCGGCCCGCACCGCCACCCTGGACATTCTCAGCAAGGGAAGGGTTGACCTGGGCGTGGGCCGCTCCGGCTATCCCTACCAGATGGCCGCTTTCGGTACAGACCTGAAAGACGCCACCGGAATGGTGGAAGAGGCCCTGGAAATCATCCCGCAGGCATGGAGCGAGGGAGAGTTCACCTACCAAGGCAACCACTATAAGATTCCCTTGCGCGAGGTCCACCCCAAGCCGGTCCAGCAGCCCCACCCGCCCATCTGGCTCGGTTGCAGCCAGGAAGACACGTTCAGGAAGGCGGGACTCATGGGCTTGGGCTGCCTGGCAATGGCCGGCGGCGGGGCTACAGGATTGGCTCCTCTCGTGCAAGCCTACCGGGGCGGCATCCGGAACGCCAGTCCGACCACCGGGGTTGTCCACAACCGCGTCTCTGTAAGCACCGTGGCCATCTGCGGGGAGTCGCGCAAGAATGTGCAGGAGCGCTCCGCCGAATTGATCGACTGGTACCGCCATCAGCAGGCCCTCCGGGACGTCCGCGTGTGGAGCGAACAGGACGCGTCCCGCGTTCCCGAAGACTACCAGTGGCATTACACCCGCTCCACCGCGACCGACTCTCCAAAGCGCGAGGAAGCATCATCCCTCGACCAGATAAGGAGTGGACGCTACTGCATCGGCGACCCCGACGACTGTATCCGCTACCTGGAAGCCTATGCCGAGGCGGGCGTGGACGAGGTCATGCCCCTGTTTCAGGTGGGCGGCATATCCCATGAGGAAGTGATGGATACGCTGCGTCTCTTCGGCAAGTACGTCATCCCCCACTTCAATGCGAAGGGAAGTTAGTCCTCCGGTAGCCCCAACTGTTCTGCGCACATCGGGTCGACTACGGTAGGGGGCAGGATCGTACGCTAAGGCCGCTATCGACGCTTTGGCCACCGGTATCCGCCGGTGAACAGGATGTGGGGCCACCCAAGGATGAGCTGTGGACCAGGAGTTGGGGCTCGACCGGCAGGCGCGGCGCTGTCCGTAAGGGGAGTGTCCAGCGGACGGCGCAGTCGGTCGCCCCGACCCCCGCCAGACCGGAGCCAGGAGCGTCTCATATGAATGGTACGGAAATATTTGCGGAAGCGGGACCCTATCCGTACACTTCCCCCATGACGGCAACGCTCATCGGAATGGACATCGCCCGCGCCAAAGGGAAGTTGCGCGGCAAGCAACCCAAACTCTCCGACCGACAGCAGCGGGAACTCTGCCGCATGCATGCCACCGGCGAGTATTACATCAGCGATCTCGCCGAGCTCTTCTCCGTCTCAAGACCAACCATATATCGCACACTCAACCGGTGCCATCCCCCTTAGCGTACGATCCTGCCCCCTTGTATCTTGACTTTGGCGATGGAGCCGAGCGCGGCAGACCGGCATTCCCTGGGTCACGACAGACCGTCCAGTAGCGAGGGTCGCCGCGCTCCCTACAAGCAGAGCCCGAACAGTTGCCTGGGCCAATCGAGCCCGTATCGTGCAAGGACGGGCCAGCGCTGACGCAGGAGGTAAAGATGGAAGAAAACCCGAGATACATAGGCATTGATGTCTCGAAGGCGCAGGTGGATGTTGCCGTCCGGCCTACGGGACAGAGATGGGCCGCGTCTTACAACGAGACCGGCGTCGAGGAACTGGTTTCCCAGATCGTGGATATAGGTCCCGCCATGGTGTTGCTGGAGGCAACGGGCGGTCTGGAAGTGCCGTTGGTGGCGGCTCTCGCTGCTGCGGCGCTGCCGGTGGTGGTGGTCAACCCGCGCCAGGTTCGCGACTTCGCCAGGGCCACCGGTACGCTGGCCAAGACCGACTCTCTCGATGCGGCAGTGCTGGCCCACTTCGCCGACGCGTTCGTCCCTCCGTGCGTCCTCTCAGAGACGCCGAGACGCAGGTACTCAACTCGCTGGCGGCCCGCAGGCATCAGGTGCTGACCATGCTGGTCTCGGAGAAGAACCGGCTGGGGACCGCTATCAGCGCCGTTCGCCCCCGCATCGAGGCCCACATCGCCTGGCTGGAACAGGAGTTGAACGACTTGGACGAGGGGCTGAGGCAGACTCTCCGCCGGAGCCCCGTGTGGCGAGAGAAGGATGACCTGCTGCGCACCGTTCCCGGCGTGGGGGAACAGGTTTCCCTCACTCTGCTGGCCTACCTGCCGGAGCTGGGAACGCTGGATCGCCGGCAGATTGCTGCCCTGGTGGGAGTGGCCCCCTTCAACCGGGACAGCGGCACCCTGCGGGGCAAGCGGGCCGTCTGGGGCGGGCGCGCCCGAGTACGAGCCATTTTGTATATGGGAGCGATGGTAGCCAGCCGCCACAACCCGGTCATCCGCGACTTCTACCAGAAGCTGCTGGCAGCCGGTAAGCCGAAGAAGGTGGCGCTCGTCGCGTGCATGCGCAAACTGCTGGTCATACTCAACTCCATGCTCAAACACGGCTCCCCGTGGTGCGATATGACTCAGCCAGAAGTCGCTCATTCCTATTGACATTCAAGACAGTTGCTACCGGAATCGACCCGTTCTTGGGCCGCTTCAGGACGAATCCCAGCCGATGCAGGTAGTTCAGGCAACTGCTCCGGCTCAAGCTGAACCCGAACCGTTCCAAGACAAACTGCCGGACTCCTTTCCAATACCAGTTGGCCAGTTCGATGCCCGCCACGGCTGGGCGGTGCTCCACCGCCCCTTTCAACCCTCTCCTGCTGCGCCTGGTCAGGGAGCGGGGGGGAACCACCGGTCGGCTCGAATATCAGGGCTGCAGGCCCTTCCCTCACCGAAGGCCGACACCCAACGGCCTATGGTATGGGGGTCCCGTTCCAGCGCCTCCGCCGTGGCCACTGCCGTCCAGCCCCGGGCCAGCATACAAAGGGCATACCAACGCGCCCGCGCCCGGGGCGTGGGCGCCAAGATCATCCGCTGGCGCAGATCCTTGACTCCCATCTGCCATTGTTCCAGAGACCGGTCTATCTCCCTCACGCCCATCTTGAACCCCTCGTAACTCCCGAGACCAGCTAACCCGGGCCCTCCACCAATTCACCCTATATCTCTGCGTATTTCACCTTGGCCTTGGTTTAGTGGGTACGCGTGAGGCTCGATGTCTGCGCCACTCTGGGGCGAACTGTCTCGCCGACAAAAATGGTGGCTCAGTCAGGCCCGAATTGTTCCCGGGCGTTCTCGCCCATCATACGGGCTATGACGTTCCGTTCTACTCGCGCCTGGGTCAGCGCCTCGATGGCGTCCCAAGCGCTGGTTGTGTCGTGGTGCGGATACCGGGAACCCCAGACGATTTTATTTTCGTAGGAATGCGGGAGCTCCTGGATCATGCGCTCTTCAGCGTCGAACCCCAGCATGACGTGGCCCTCTTCCCACATTTCTTCAGGATCGGTCCTGACGGGATAATGATGCTGGAGAGGTATGACCCGTGTCGATGCCTCCATTTTCTCCAGGACTTCGTCCATCCAGGAGGCCTTGCCGTGGGCCATGACCACCCTCATCTCGGGGAAGCGCTGCATGACGGTGTAGCCTATCAGCGTGGATGCGACGAACATATGGTTGTCCAGCCATGGGGACAATATCGGCGCCAGGGGATGCCCCAGCGGGATCATTCCCGTCGCCGGGGATGCCCGGTTGCGGTCGCTGGTGCTGCCGCCAGCGAAGGGGCCACCGCCGCCGCCGCCGAGGCCGGCGGTCTGTGAAAGCCGGCCGCTGACCTTTTCCACGAAGGGACCATGGGAAGTCCACTCCGGGTTCCATAAGCCGGCCGTGGGATGCACGGCGGCCGCCAACCCTAGGTTCTCCAGTTCCGCCCAAAGGGGATCGTAGTAGGGGTGGGTCAGGTACCGTCCTTCCATGAACATGGGCCGGATGAATGCCCCACGGAAACATCGCGACCCGGCGACGCGGCGCAACTCGGCTGAAGCAAAGTCCATGTTGCCCAGGGGGACCATTGCGGCGGCGAAGAGACGGTCCGGCGCGGCCTGACAGAAATCCGCAATCCAGTCGTTGTACGCCCGCGCCAGCGCCCAGGCCACGTCCGGATCCTCGACCAGGTGAAAGCCCTCGGCGAACCACGTCGGGTAAATGAAGGTCTGGTCGATTCCCATGGCATCCATATCCCGTAGCCTGGGCTGTGGGTCAGATGCGCCTTCACACATCGGATGGCGGGTATCCGGGTCCAACTCGCCAACGGAGTCCCAGGTCATTCCGGGCTTCCAGATGGCGTGACGGGGGACGTTGGGGTTCGCGCTGTCTCGAAACACCCGGCCGTTGATCTTGAGATACGAGTCGAAACTCCCTTCCTCGCGCCAGAGGGCGATTTTACCCGGGACCCTGTACTCAGGCTCCAGGTATTTCTCCCACACGTCGCGGGGTTCCACCACGTGGGAATCGCTGTCAAAAACGACGAAGTCTTTGCTCATAGTCATCGCACGTCATCCGATGGGCTGCCGGCTAGCGTCGCGTAACCGACGCCTCAGGCTTGAGGGCCTCATTTATTTCGTCTTCGTCTGGCCACCAATCCGGGCGGTGGATCTCGGTAACTCGATCGCGAATGATTTTGCTGGGCGGCGCGATATTGTAGAGCCGTCGAGCGTTCGCCCCCAGAAACCTGGCCTGGTCGTCGATGGGCAACTCGCACTCTTCCATAGTCTCGATGGCCCTCCAGGCGTCGTCTCCGTCGTGGTGATAGACGTCCGAGGCCCAGGCGAGGATGTCCCGATAGTAGTCGGGCAGGCGCGACGGCGGGGCTTCGTCGCCTTCAAAGCCGGTGACGCAATGCTGGAAGAAAGTCTCGCTGGGCAGTTGCTTCAGAGGAGGCAGCTTGCGGTCATTTCGGTAGAGCCGATAGGTCTTGTCGCATTCATCCAGCAGGAAGCTCAGCCAGGTGGACGACGCCTCGAACACCGCGGCTCGGATCTTGGGATGCCTCTCGAAAAACCCCGACATCAGCACCATGGTCACCCATAGTGAAGCCTCGGCCTGGAAGTTTTGCACGTTGCCCAGGAAAGTATGCGGCAATCCGGAGGTGGAAATGGTCCTTCTGATGAGCTCCGCGCCCGAATACTGGTCGGAATAGCCCGGTGGTTTCGCGACCCCCGAGGCCGGGAAGGGGTGCATACCGTAGACCAGGCCGGTATCTTCCAGGGCATTCCACACGCTCTCGTACTTGGGTTGAATCGGGTAGTTGCCCATGGCATCCATGGGTCTGATCAGGGCCACCCGGCAGCCCTTGGCAGCCACGCGATAGACCTCTTCAACGGCGAACTGAGGGTTCTGCATGGGGATGAGAGCGGCGAAGTAGAGGCGTTCCGGGTCCTCCTGCGTGTATTCGTATGCCCAATCGTTGTAGGCCTTGCACATGGCCCGCGCCCCCAGGGCGTTCTGCAGCCAGGGGTAGGTATCGATGCTGGTCGGTATGATCATCACCTGGTCGATGCCCTGGACGTCCATGTCCCGGAGCCGGGGGCCGGGTTCGTCGGCTCCGGCGTGGGCGAGGTAATCCGACTGCTCCCTGGTCAGCGCAGTTGCAGGATTGAGGTTGCGGACGTTGAAGGCGCGCTGGATGTCGTGTTTGAGCCCTGGACCGGCCAGCCTCACGATGTCGATGGCGCCCGGCCCAGTCTTCGGAACCGGGGAGAAGCTATTGACGTCAGCCTTCCCATTAACCAGCAACTGGTTCGTTTCAGCGTCGTACCACATGGTGGATTTCAGAGCTGCCAACTCATCGCTGGTGAGGCTATCTGCGGCCCGTTCCCAGATGACAGCGGGCTCCACGATGTGCGCATCGCAGTCGAAGGTGGGGAAATCTTTGGTCATTGGCC